GTCACTTTTGATCTCTCAAGCATATGAGTCAACGACAGAAGGACAGCCCCCTCTTTTTCCTGTGCAGGGCCCACCAATGAGGCTTGATTTTGTTCCTCACCTGACTTTACAGGGACTTATCTACCATTGCTCAGGCTTAAAAACACGAAGCTGTTTCCAAATGGGGAGAGACAGCCAGGCATGGTGGTGCACACCTGTAATTCCAGCAGCTCAGGAGGCTGAGGCAGGAGGATCCCAAGTTCAAAGCCAGCCTCAGCAATTTAGCAAGGCCTTTATGCACCTCAGTGAGACCCTGTCTATAAATAAAATATAAAAAATGGGTGGGACCTGGCTCAGTGGTTAAGAGCCCCTGGGTTCAATGCCCAGTACCAAATAAATAAATAGGTAGAGAGTCAATAATTGACCAGAATCAGGGAAAAAGAAAACAATACCTTGGGAATTGAAGTTCTGATTTTCATGCTTAAATTTTAAAATACAGTTTACATTGAAAAACTTTGTTGTATTTGTTTCTATTTATAAGATGCTATAAATCCATTTGAAAATTGCTTACAATAATGAATAAAGAGCAAAAGGAAGTTAATGCCTGATTTTTGTGCATATCATTCACTATCTTTCTTAGGAGTCAGTTCCTAGGAAAGGTTTTGGGTGCTCAACACTCACGGCCGATTGACCATCCTGTAATGTATAAAAGTGCCTGCTTCACTTGCCCTGAGTCCACGTTTCATGTTTATCCTACTGTTGCTTGTTCTTTCATTTAAATGAATTATACCAAACAGCATGTGCCAAGCGCAGGGTGAACACCAACTCCTTTGGTCCTCCCAGTTCCCTGAGGTACGATCCCACTATGGGACAGAAGGCACTGGGGCACAGCGCCGTTTCCCGTGTGGTGAAGCTGGAGTTAGAACCTAGGAAGGCTGGCCCCAGAGGACGGACGTGCTCTCTCATGGACCCTCTTCTCAGGTGGAAAGGCCCTAGAAGGCAGGGATTTCTCCTCTGTTGCTCTTACTACTGGGGCGATTCTCAAGCTTCCCCCTCTGTCAGCATGATCCAGTGTTAAGAACAGCTGCCATCCTGTAGGGACCTGCCCAGGGAGACTGGTGTGTGAAAGTCCACTTGTTATGAAGAACCGGGGTGTCACTTCTTCCCATCTTTGTTTGTGGGACTTGGCTTGTCTTCCCACCATAGGACCCTGAGGTATTCTCCAATGACTAAGACTCACTTCTTGATGAGGTGTGGGTATGGTATTGGAGGCTCAAGGTGCTGCTACTGGCAGGTGGCAGAACCTTAGGAGGTGGGGTCGAGTGGGAGGTCCTTAGGTGACTGTGGGTGGGAGAGCACCCTTGGAAGGTAGCTCTTTGACTCCTGGAGTTCTCCCAAGAGGCTTGTTACCAAAAAAGTAGGTGCCTAGCTCCCCCCCCCATCTCTGCTTCCTGGCTCAAGTTGTCATCTTCTTGAATCCCCACACACTCCCTCCACGGGTATCCACCATGAGATGATGCAGCAAAGGGCAGCCCCCAACACGGAGCCTACACCATGCTGTTTGGACTTGGAACTGCCAGGACTGTAAGTGAGATAAACCTCTTCTTCATAAGTAGCCTGGGTCAGGTAATTTGTTATAGTGATGAAAACTTGACAAATACACTTCTTTAACTGCCAGGTAACTGTGCTCACCCAGTACTTAGTACCACACATGCGTACACGCGCGCACACACACACACACACACACACACACACACGGTGTCAGATATCACAGTAGGTACAAAAGACAACAGTGTATTCTGATGCTGTAATATGGACCCCCCCCCCCCCCGCCAGTACCCGAAACAAGACATAATCTACTTCTCTTTCACTTCACGGTCTCTGGGTCAAGGATCCAACACTAGAACAGCACGGCATGCCTGGGAGGTCCAGTTTATTATTATTTTGTTTTTGTTCTTATCCTCTATAGCAGGGGTTAGCAAGCCTTTTAATTTAAGGGCCAGAGAGTAAATAATACAGGCTTTCTGTCCCAAACTCTTGTCTTGGCAAGTAGGTGAATGAGAAGTGGCTGTGGTCTAATAAATTTTATTTGCAAAACAGGCCAAAGACTTTTCACAATAGTTAAGATAAGGGATCTACCTGGGTGTCGGTTGATAGAAAGTGTGGTATATGCACACAATACTAGCCCATCATAAAAAGGGATGAAACCCTGTCATCTGCAGCAACATGGATGGAAATGGATATTAAGTGAAAGAAACCAAGCACAGAAAAATAAATACCACATCCTCCCTTATATGTGGAAGCTACAAAGTTGATCTCAAGAGAAGTGGACAATAGTGGTTAAGAGAGTCTGGGAAGGATGCATGTGGAGGGGCCGGGGACAGGATGGCTGATGGGGACAGGCGAGCAGTTGGATAGGAGGAGTACAGCACAGTACAGTATCTATGGTTGACAACAACTAATTGTATTTTTAAATTTGCTAGGAGAAAGGGAGTCATGTTTTGGGTTGAAATGCCAATTACCCTGATCTATTCACTCTGTACATATATTGAAATGTTATCCTGAACACTTTAAATATGTATAATTATATGTCAACCAAAAATGATATATTAAAACACACACACACAAATAGCCACAGGCCAGAGTCTGCTGGTCCCTGTCCTACAGAGCCTGCATATGTCACCCAAGGACCTTGCTGAAATGGACGTTCTGATGAGGGGAGTCCCCTTTCCAACAAGCCCTGGGTGAAGGTGATGCCGACAGCTGTGCCATCATCACCTGCTGCTCCTGCTCTAGTCCTTGCTCAGGCCCCACCGACCTTCCCAGGTCCCTGACGCCAGCACTGAGCGGCTGGAATGTCTCCAAGGAGACCAGCCTCTGTCCTCATCTAACTCAGCCCTGGTGTGGCTGGGGCTCTCCAGCGACTCTTCCCGTCTCCTGTGGCCTCTCCCCTGCTCCACCCCAGGCTCAGGCCTCCGGACCCTCCTCCTCACTCCCTCTCACCGCTTTACAAACCTCAGGCTCAAGCCTCCACCCCGAAACTCCCCTACCTCCCCCATCTG